TCTGTACGTAATATAAATCTTTTAATTTCCAACATTTCAGATGGTGATCTTATTTTATTTAGTAATTGTGGAGACTGGGGAGGGGGGGGGGTGAGTTCTACTTAAGCCACTCGTTACTTACATAAAACAACAATTTCAATAGAATGTGATTAAGCTTCGACACTGGAATCGAAGGAATTCGTAGAAACTTTGGCGAGGAAGATGCAAAAGTTATTACATTTCATATGTAACCTTAAATTTATTGTTTTCTTAAACATATTTTTGTAAATAATTTGTGTGAAATAGGGCGTTTTATTAAGTTTTGCCAAGGGCGCTAAATAACTTGGCGCCGACACTGGACAAGGGCTAGTGCAAAAAAGTCCCGGGTAATTATGCAAAAAACTCAAATTAAGTAATCAGTCACTCATTCACTCGATCACTATTATGAGCTACAAGGTACTCGCTCAACCGTGACAAAAAAAAAAACACCGATAAAATGTTATTTTACATGGAATTAAAGCTATGTAGTTTAATATTTGAAGTTACTTGATTAACGTTTTAGAATAAGCATGTTTAAAAGTGTGAATATTACATTTTAAAGCTTGAAAAATTAGTTAGTAATATTTTTTTACCTAATATAACGAAGGCACTAAGGAAACACTGAAAAGTTATATCCATTTTCTTTGTCTGGTCTGTCCCACTCTGAAATCTTTTTAAGCTATGCGCTGATCAACTCAGGGGAAGCAACTACACATCTCGCCGGTCCTGGCAAGGGAAGCGACTCCACATCTCGTTAGCGAGCCTCTCGTCGGCTGATGCGTGCAAAGGGGTGAAAGATGGCGCGTGTAGGAGGATGGTAAAAATGGTAGGAGTGGGTTGTTAGTATCGATACTCAAACCATCCATGACGAATTCCTGATTAGCATTTTTTTTAAATAGCATTTTTGCTGTAGATTTGGGAAGGGGTTAGAAATATGACACTATTCGGTAGATTTTTTTTCAACGTTTCGTTTCAAATTTTTAAGAGTGTGAAATTTTGATTCACTTTAGTTTGAAGATTTTGTTATAAAATAACGCCATGGTGTATAAAAATAAAAGATTGATTTTATAATTCGTGTTTTGTCCAAAATTGTTGTGAAAATAAAATCTTTTCAATGCATAATTTGTTCTAGAAGTTGTTTTGTATTGTTAATAAATAACGCTTTCTAATTTTGTTAAGTAAAAAAGTATTTTTATTAAATAATCTTGTTTCCACGCTAAAAGTAATGTGGGTACGGCTAACCAATAACATCCTCCCCCTCCCTCTATTCTAGCCCCCACAACATCCACCATTTTTTACCAGATTCCGCAGCCCGGCAGTCGATACAGAAATGAGGTCAACCGTCCAAAAATTGTGTTCGCTACTATCTGGCACCACGCCCAGCAAGCCGGTAAAATCCAGACCGCGCACACGTCTCCCCCACCCCCACCTCCACTTTACCCAGCACCTGTGCTCTAACCCCCCCCCCCCCCTTCCTCCTTTAGCTCACCCTCCCAAATGCCAGCCTCTGCCAAGGCCAAAAAATCCAAGCACACGGGCATTTATGCTGAATGGTTTTGTGTTCAACTCACGGCCCGTTACTTTGTCGGACTAAAACATTGACCAGTGGAGTTGTTGGTCCTGGAATTCTTTCAGTACTTCATGTCTACTAATATTCTGTCTACCCCTACCCCCCCCCCCTTCTTCATCCCCCCTTCATCATACAACCTCCAACCCCCCCCCCCCCCTTCATCCACACTGAAACATGTTCGCTTCTATATATAACTATAACCGTTGTCTTTCTCCTATAACCTCCTCCTTTCATCCTCCAAAAAACAAATATAACCCTTGTCTATCCGCTTGCCCTCCCAACCCCCAATCCTCATTATCAACTACCCCTCCCTACCTTTCCACACGTAACCTTGAATGTGAGAATATTATGACGTATCACGGGTAACGTAACCAGACGTTAATAAGATGTTACCTTTTGTGTAGATCTTTATGGCGATACTTGCCAAATCTTGTTCAAAGGGAGTAACTCGATAGGGGAAGTAATCCGACTGGACAAGCCGTTGTAGGGGCGGTAATATGTGCTGGTGGTTTGGCCTAGTTTTGCGTGTTTTATTTCCGTATTTTCGTAACAATGTAGCTAACTAAAACCTATTTGGTAATTTTGTTAAATAAATGTATGCATTAACAACAATGTTTAACCTATATACATTTTAAACATGCGTATACCATACGAAATGTAGGTAATCCAACACAGACACAGACACAGACACACACACACACATACACACACACATATATATATACATATACATATACATATATATATATATATATATAATATACATATATATATATACATATATATATGTATATATATATACATATATATATATATATATATATATATATATGGGAAACAGCATGGTCAATTGCATGGACATAGCCATAGCCATAGCCATAGCCATAGCCATAGCCATAGCCATAGCCAAAGCCATAGCCATAGCCATAGCCATAGCCATAGCCATAGCCATAGCCATAGCCATAGCCATAGCCATAGCCATAGCCATAGCCATAGCCATAGCCATAGCCATAGCCATAGCCATAGCCATAGCCATAGCCATAGCCATAGCCATAGCCATAGCCATAGCCATAGCCATAGCCATAGCCATAGCCATAGCCATAGCCATAGCCATAGCCATAGCCATAGCCATAGCCATAGCCATAGCCATAGCCATAGCCATAGCCATAGCCCTCTAGATATATATATATAGGGATAATTATAGATGCAGAGATAAAGATAGATAGAGATAGATAAAGGTAGATGTAGATGTAGATGTAGAGGTGGATGTAGAGGTAGAGGTAGATGTATATAGAAAGAATATTAAACAATATCAAAACTTGACGTTTTATAAATTTTATTCATACTGATAAAACAAACATATTTATAAAACTGCATAGTTTAAAATAACCGTAAAAAGTATTCCAAAAGGGGGAAACGTTTTATTTAAATGTCTAAATTTTTAAAACTTACTAAAATAAATACAAATACTATTAATTGCTAACAATCACATAGAGAGACACATCAGCGAATAAGCATCAGAGTCACACATTGATACTGATATTGCAATTCTGAGATTGCAACAAAAACGGCAACAAAACCACTACACAAAAATTGAACTGTTAGACATATTTTTATTACACCAGTTGCCAATTAGAAATATTTTATCTTGAACCGTTGATTAAAATATGATTTAAAAAACAAATTGGCGAACAATAAACACCCAAATATGTATTTAATATTAATGACACTACACATACACATACATTGAGCATGTTTAATGACGTAACAACACCAAGCATTAGAAAAATGTTAAGAACTAGAGAGTTTTGCTTATCGTTCCACGGTCAACGTTTATTTAAGCCTTCGTGCTCTCTTTGTTTGCTGATGATAACTAGGACACTTGATGAAAATGTAAATGCATCGCACCATTAAACGGTAATCTTAGAATATGTACGGTAGGTAAAGAAACTACTAGTCGTAAAAAAGTAAATTAAAACAGCAATTTTACGTAGGCATTTACAAATAGGAGTAGCTATTCTTTTATCAGCTTCATTTCTTTCATTTCTTGCCATCAAAGACACATTAGATTACACTTCTGTGAGAGGAACACTATCCCCGAATATTACATAGCATCTTGTTTAAGATTATTGTTTTATAGACTTATGTTGAACAGTATTTTCACAGAATTGTCTACAATAAAATTGAGAGAAATACAAGGTGTTGTTTTTTTTGTATATCTTGCGTTTGCAGCCCACTCAAGTGCTATAGTGAATGTGTGTATTTGGTTCTTTAAACAAACATCGATGAAATTCACAAGCCTAAAAAGCTAGACCAGTGAGTAGAAGCTACAGATGTGAGGCTTTCATCTATGTAAATGTGATAACAACAACTATACATTACACAGTAGGCCTATCTTGTGAGGAATCGAATAATAAAATACAGAATAAATATTTTTTTAAGTTAATAAATTCAATTAATATCTGTTTGTTGGTACAATTAAAAGAAATTTCAAGATACGTGTTTTAAAAGGGAAATATTTCGTTATTTCATCACGTGTTGTTTTCTTGTTCGAATACAGTCTTTATTTGTATAAACCAAACATATCCATTATATACAGGACATGTCAATCAGTATCATCAATACTGAAGCTTTTGATCAATTTTGTTGGCCTTGTTAATTGATCTCATCCGATTGTCCATTAAGAATAATGAAAACAGTTGCATCTATTTGCATTGGAAATTACCATATTAGAACTAGTCCCAGAATAATTTTTCCTTAAATTATTTAAAATCATATGTTTGTTGCTGTATCGTACATAATTATTTCCGTATCATATCAGTAAAATGTCTTGAATAGAATCGATGTTGATCCAATCATCCTGATATTAATATCCTTGAATGATATCAGAAATTATCCATGTATCATAATCAGCTGCACTATACTTATATCAAGGAAATTAAACTCAAATAAAAAGAGCACTTTATGAGTAAAAAATAAGGCATGTTAAAACATTTTAAAAACTCGTATGTAATCTAAATTACACCAACCGTAATAAAAATAATATAGCTGACTTTTGCTAAATCTTAAAAAGATGAGCGCACTTTTTATTTAAAAAACCTGACATTTGAAAATTACTTTAAAATATTGCTCTTTATGTTTAAAAAAAAAGAAAATAATCAACAGGCCATTTAATAAATAATTTTTTAAAAAGCTAAAACATGAACAAAACTTAAACATTAATTAATTAAACATGGCACGCAGCGACAGTGCGATGGCTGACGTCACAATCAAGAAAGGAGTCTGGCGTATTTGCCCGACGCCATTTTCACCATCGTCTATGGAAAAGGTTTGTTCTGTGAAAACATAATTATTAAAATTATAACAATGGCTAAAAAAGGCATACATATATGATGTATATTAGTGGCGTATGCCGGTTTTCCATTACGGAGAGTGGTAATTTTTTAAAAAGTATATATATATATATATATATATATATATATATATATATATATATATATATATATATATATATATATATATATATATATATATATATATATATATATATATATATATATATATATATATATATATATGTATAAACAACCTACTCTACGAGCATAAAAGCCACCAGAATTGTACAGAATCGCTAATAATATTAAAACCTAACCTAAAGTCTAATGAATTTGATATGTGATCAGATAATTAAAGTTAAGCCTAAATCACAACCGAAATGTGATATGCTTTACCTGGATTCATGACGTACCTAACCCTACCCCAGCCGGTCAGCCAGATCAGTTACCTCCTCTCAAATTACCACCCTGTGTAGTTACCCCACTGTACAATACATAGCTTACCAGAGGCTTAGCGACCCCTCCCGGCGCCCGGGGACAAACTTTCAATTTGTCGCCCCCATCCCCACCCCATATATTTTTTGTATTTATAATTCAAAATAGCAGCTAAAATGAGCTTATTCTAGGGTCGGCGCCCGGGGACATATGCACCCCCCCCCCCCCCGTCGCTACGCCTCTGTAGCATACCAACACCTAACCCTGACTTTCTCCATAGCTATCTCCCAATCCCTAAACCCCGATCCTGACCAAAATCATACGTTTATCCTTAAACCCTTCACACACACACACACACACAAACAAACATACGATAGGGTCTGTGTTTCTGTATTTTTGTGTGTTTTAAAACATGTTAATTAATAATGTTATTCTCAGTATTGTAACAGTTATCCTAAATTATAATGGCTTAATGTTACTTTAATATTAGTTGTACTTGTACTTACCAGTTGTATGTTTGTTCATTTCACCTTTTTTTCTTTGGTTCTGTTTTTCATGTTCCTCGATCATTGTTTTGCCTGTAGAAAATTACAAATTTCTACTAATTTTTTTTAACATTATGAATTTGTTAGGGAAAAAGTACAGAAACTGTGATTAGCTCTTTCTAGTCTTTAATACTCCAGAAAATGTTGAGATTGAAAGTAGTTTGTTGATGCAGAAAAAGTAGAGAAACCGACATTAGCTATTTCTAATTTGTTGATACAGAAAAGTTGAGGGGGGGGGGGGGGGGGCGTGGAAAACAACATGTAAACAATCGATACCACAACAAAACATTTTTATCTTTAACTAGCCGTTATCGGCTAGGATTTGCTCCAGCCATTTTTTGTCATACCCAAATGTAAGTTTTAGCGTAGGTATGTATGTTTTTCTACAAAATGTTTTAATAAAAAGAACATTACATAATGCTACGCTCAAAATTAGCTACAGCACGTGATTCTAAATATTAACCTACACATCACCTGCTATGAACCAATATCACAGTTCGATTAAGTTTAGGTTTAGGCTAAAGGTTAAAGTAAACCAAAATCAAAATAAATAAAAATATGTTTAGTAGACGTGCATTTTAATTTTTTACTACGCGAAAAGGCAAGAAGATCTAGCAATCAATGTATTCATTATTTATAAATTTTCACAGGTTATATTATAACCTCTTTATCTATTCAAATGCAGTTTTAATATAGCTTTTGCAAGGCACACCATTGCACACAAATGAACGTAAAGCTCGTCAGTGACTTATAGGTATTGTTTACACAAATCATAAACATATTAATTATATGTCACTTTTTACTTTCTCGTATATACGAAGTATAGAGAAAGTATTGTAATCGTGCACAAAAATCACTTGAAATTTTAACAATTTTCACCGTATTACACCTCAGTCCTTCTTCACATCCGAAGTATAGAGGACTTATTTTAATCGGGCAAAAATTATCAATCCAGATGTATCAAAATTAAAAGGTTTTATGCGTAATCCAGTCTGAAAAACTGGGCTTTGCAATTCTGTCCGTATGTCTGTGTGTCTGTGTGTGTGTCTGTGTGTGTGTCTGTGTGTAAACACGATTACTTGGGTACTGTTACAGCTAGATTGATGAAATTTCATATATAAGTATTTTATCAAAATCGTAGATCCGTATCAACGTTTGAGCAATTTCCAATAACCGGAAGTGGTACTTTTTCTACTTTGAATTTTTCAAAAGCCTATAACTTGAGTACTATTTCAGATAGATAAATGAAGTTTCACATGTGAGTAAAAGATCTAATTTTCTACCTTCTGTTACATTTTGAGTAATTTCCGTTGACCGGAAGTAGTAATTTACGCTACTTTCGATTTCTCAAAAAACTAATGTACATTTTTAAAGTACTAATAATATTACGCACTATTATGCACTTTTTTATTTGGCGTTCACTTGGTGTGCAATTCTTTTGTCTACGAGATTTTATTCTATTTTTAAAACTTTAAGTATTTAAAATGGATTAAAAATCATGTCTATAGCCCGAGTTCCCATCCCCTGTTGTTTTATATAAGAATATTCGAGAAAGTTTAGGGGAGATCTCTCCCGGTTTATTTAAATTAATTTTCACACCCGATCCAATTTATTGTGTGAGGAACCAAACTAACCCCACTTTGTTTTAATAGATACTTATGTAGAAATATTTTTAAATTATTTTTTTTCATTTTCTTTTACATAGAACTAATAGTGTTTATGAGAATGGCAAAAAAAAAAAAATAATTAAATTAGACACTAGATCTATCTTCATACCAGATATCAAGTTTTTGTGGCATCGGCAAGTGGTTAATCAAAGCATTTTTTTAAAGAATATATAAAGCCGCGGTCAGCCTAGGTCAGTTTTCGGTCACTTTAATCCGAATCATTGAGATGGTTTTAATTTTTCCGTTATAATAATAGCGAACAACAAACTTCGTCAAGAACAATAGGGCTGGTAAGTAGGTCACCAACCAGTTCTACGGCTCAATAAAACCTGGATGAACCATAGAACTGGTTGGTGACCTACTTACCAGCCCTATTTTCCTGCAACATACATGCAAGTACCGGATATAACAGAAGTTAGAAACATATAAACAATCGATACAGATGATTAAATCTGAATGGTTAAATAAATTAAATCTTTATGTGCGTTTGTTTTTGTATGTGCATATGTGTGTATCTTACATGCCGCCTGATGCACTGCCATTTGCGAGAGTGTCTGGTTGACCATAGTTTGAAGAGCTGGCATTTTACAATCACCAACAGCATCTTTTATACACTCAACAGCCGTCATTAGTGACCTAGGATTAAAGGACGTAGCATGATATAATCAGAATAAAGTTAGATATAAGAGTTTCTACCGCCCCCCCCCCCCGAACGAAATTGAATTGATGTAGAAAACATACTTTTATCAGTGTTCGTCCCCCCCCCCCCCCCCGGAAAATTATGTCCGCCCCCCGAAAATATAAGGTGCTCCCCCCCCCCTCCCCAGGAGAAAAAAGTCTGGAAGAAACACTGTTCGATATATGCTTGTAAAAGAAAAAAAACACATTGTACTAATTTGTAATTTACTTATCTAACAACATTCATACTTTTTAAAGTTCAACACTTAGTATACTTTGCACATTTTCAAAAATTAACAATAAACTTCTTCCATTTTTAGCGCAATTTCCATTCTGGAGAATTGCGTTTATTAACCCGTCATTTCTGGATGTATGAATGTATGAATGAATGGATGGATGGATGGATAGATGGATGTATGTGTGTCCGCAGCTTTAAGTCGTATCTCCTCCTCAACGAAGCAATATCGATGACTAGTTCCAAAAGCAATTATGTTAAGCAAGTTACGAGGATGAACATAGGCCATACAAATTCCGGATTTCTTTCATGGATTTCCCGGAAAAGCCAAAAAAACTCGAAAAAAAGCAGTTTTGGCCCATATCTCGGCAACCAGACCACTTAGCGACTTGAAACATGTACCAATCGATTCCTGCCATAATTTAGAACAATATTGCCGAAGAAAGTTTTCAAAAATATCCTTTCGTTCGGTCACAAATTTTTTTTTTTAATTAATTAAAATTTGGACCGAATTAGTAGGCATTTTATGCAACCACACCACACGCGTCATCACGTTCAATAGCTGCGCCATCACGTTCAATGGCTGCGACGTCACGCTCGGTAGCCGGGCGCGCAATGGTTTTTAGTCATGTTACTCTATTGTAAATAAAACATGTATTTTAACCAATGTTACTCTATTGTAAACAAAACATGTAAAATACTGAAAAAAAATTAATAAAAAACGTTTTAATAACTAACCAATGGTTTTACTAACCCTGCTCTTGATTTACGCTACGACAGAGCTATTTTTAGATAACACAAGGAAATTGCGCTAAAATTGTCACTAGACTTTTTTTAATTACTTGTTTATAAGTTTGTTAACATTTTACTCTTCTCCCCTCGTTTGGGAAATGCTTCTAACAAAATCACACCGAGAATACTAACCTACATAGATCTCTAAAAGGTATGAAAATAAAATGTTGATATTTTAATTCGCGTTAACTTACTTGCAAACTTCCACATTCTTAGTCTTGTCCTCACTCTGTCCCATGCCAGAAAGCTGGGTATTGTTGGTGCAGGCTTGGAACTTGGCCGTATCGCATGGGTTGGGCTTGTCTGATTGACCTTTTCAAAGAGGTCAGTGCAATAGTAAAGTTACTATGATAATACTTAAATACCCTTCTATACAGGGCTGGTGCTATCTATAAGGCGAACTAGGCGGTCGCATTGGGCGCTATCAGTAGGGGGGGGGGGGCGCAAAAATGGGTAATCGACATTATTAAAAGGTACCTAATAATTAATAAGTTTGATTACATTATATTAATATATAAACAATATACAGGGTAAAGTTTAAAAGGCGTAGCAATCTATTTCGCTGTCCAGGACGTACTATCAATTTTGTTCCCCCATCTTCAAATTAGGCCTACGTATAGTTTTTCTGCTGAAAATGCGCACCCCCCCCCCCTCGACATCTCTTATTTGGAAAGGTGGGGGGGGGGGGGGTTCCAGTCACTTTGCCTTTTTATTTAGGTGTCACGCATTTTACGTAGAAAACCATTAAATAAGTCCATAATGTCAAGTAGCAGTCAACATTCTTTATTTCAACTGTATATAAATCGATAACGAGCTTTTTATATTATTAACTACAATGTTTGGCACCCCCATTGTGTCGGCGACTGTGACGCCATCCCCAAACCACGGCTCTGAGGGGGGGGGGGGCTTTTAATAAGTTTTACCTAGGGCGCTAAATAACCTGGCGCCGGCGCTGCTTGTATGATATGTTTGCGTGTATGTTATTAAAGTTGGATGGTCTTAGCGCTTCTAACTTTTTGCTTGTTCGGTACAGCTGGGGACTCTATGAAGCAGGGAAACTTGAAAGCTACCTGGCGTTTAAAGGTGCGAAGGTAACTCTTTATTACATACATTCACCAAGCAGAGTTTCTTTCAGGCAGCCCCCCTCCCCCCCAAGAAAGTCTACCGCCCTCCCCCCCCCCCCCCCCCCCCCGAACGAGATGGATTTTATATAGTATTCATACACTTTTACTAGTGTCTGCTCCCCCGAAAACTGTTGACCGCCCCCCCCCCCGAAAATTTCAAGTGCCCCCCCCCCCCACCCACGGAGAAAATAGTATGGATGAAACACTGGCACCAAGTCTATTAATACCCACGAATGAAACAGTTTTGTGTTACAGCAGCTAATTTTTTTTTTTAAATAGCAAATGTACCGTCTGCAAATCAATAATGCGGAAAAAAAATACAAAAAAAAAAACATACAAAAAAAAAACAAGAAAAAAAAACATACTCACCAAAAAAAAAAAAAGAAAAAAAAACATACTCACAAGCAGAACTCATCTGTGCGACACCAAACGCCGCGAGTTCAATTTGTGCTTTAGCCTCTACATTACCTTCACATTTTACTTTTTGTTCCGCGAAACATTCGCTAGCTTGTTTGGCTATCCTACGAATAGTTTAATCAGATTTCATTGCAAGTTTTTTAAACACTGAATTTTTTTCATGCTTTTTTTTTTAAATTATTTTAAATTTAAAATATTTTGTTATAAATTTAAATAATCACAAATGTTAATTGTTTTAAAGTTAAAGAAACTAAAAGCATATAATATAAAGTAGTATATTTTATAATATTACGTATAATGTTCAACAATTATATTTTTAAAAAATCCATTTTACCTGCAAGTTTCTTGGGTGGGGCCGCTTTGCTGTTGCTGTGGTAGGCTGCCCATTATGCCCATACATTTCATGATGTTGCAGTCTGAATCACCAGCCTGGCCTGTGGTCCAAACATGTGTAGGTTTAAACGTTATAGTGAATGCAGTGGCGTCGCTAAGTCGGGTGTCACCCGGTGTGGCACTTCTTGTTATCACCCCCCCCCCCACAAGGAACAAAGTATATATATATTTATATACATACATACATATATATATATATATATATATATATATATATATATATATATATATATATATATATATATATATATGTATATGTGTGTGTGTGTGTGTGTGTGTGTGTGTAGTGTTTGTGTCGGCCTACATAGGCCTATAGTTTAAATATAAGCCACATACACGTACATTTATGTGTATATGATTTTTTTTCCTTGGTATCACCCCACCTAAATGGTGTCACCCGGTCCGCACCCCCCTCCCGCCCTCCCTCCGCCTCTGAGTCAGTGAGCACTTATTGCGAATAACCACCAAGTTATACGATGTACATTTGAAATATAAAGTCATCGACGCCACCACCTGTTTTTTTTGTTAGTACTTACAGTTGGCATGGGACGGAGTGGTCTAGCGGTAGAGAGCTGGACTGCTAACCCTTAAGTCTCGAGTTCGAATCCGGGTTCAAGTCAGTAGACCGTCTCTGAGTCCACCCAACTCTGATGGATACCTAACTCATGTTAAGGAGAGTAAAGGCGGCTGGACATAGTGCTGACCACACTATCTCTTCATATGCCGAGGTCACAGAAACAAGTGAATTCAACTTCACTTGCTCCATAGACCTTCAGGTTTGAAAGGGAAACCTTACTTTTACTTACAGTTCGCCTGCATCATCTTCATTTGTGCCATTCCCATTTCGATTTTGTCCTTTATGTCTTGACTACATGAGGGCAGTAACGCCGTGTAGCAGTCTGTGACTTCTTTAGCAAATCTGGGGGGAAATAAAATTTGAATTTACTAATTAACGAAAGAGACCTGATCAAGGAAGTGTGGGGGGGGGGGAACTGGGGAAGGGTATAAATGGATGAAGCTTTAGCAGATATGTATGTGTGTTTGTGTCGGGGAGGGGGGAGGACATTACTCCTCACGTTAATTACACAAAGATCAATTACCCCCATGGTAATTACCTACCTCTTGACAATACCTATTTTGCGTGAGAACCCCGCCAATTTATAAAATGCTTAAAGCATTAGAATGATTTTATTGAGTGAAAAATAAATAGTATTTTATTCTTTCTCTTTGAATTCTATACAATACAAAACAGGGAAATTGACCAAGTGCTAAAAAAGTTCATTTTTTCTAGAACATTTACTTTCCTATCTTTTCTCTATCCCTATCCCTAACGCAAACCAAATCCCTATCCCTTTAACTCTATCGCAAGTCTTATACTTATCGTTACATTTTTTGAGTCAATTAAGTTAATAATCTGTGGTATTAAATACCAAAACGTCAAAAACATAAAGTTGTCGTTTACTAACATTGACACTACTTACTTGCACATTAAATGTATGTCTCCAAGGTTTTCTTGAACTTTATTCATGTCTTTAGTGCAGGCTTGAAATTCGTCGAGAGTACACGCCGCTTTCGTCATACTAAACACACCTGGAGTTAGAGGAAAGTGTAGGGAACTTAGTGTTTACTTCTACATAGCTAATAACGTTTCAGTAGCGCCTTGTTGCGCTATACTGTACACGTACGTCTGGCGTTTTCTAACTGTTTAAACCCACCCAACTGTGTTTGATTGGTGAAGTGTTCATTGATTAAACTCTATGAATAAGGGGTCAGGTTATGATTGCTGTTATAATTAGTGGTGGAGGTAAAAGAAAGAGGCGCGGTAAAAAATGTCAGGCCCAATATATATATATATATATATATATATATATATATATATGTGTGTGTGTGTGTGTATATATATATATATATTATAGGCTCTCTCTCTGTATATATATATATATATATATATATCCCCTATATATATATATATATATATATATATATAATATTTATATATATATATATATATATATAGAGAGAGAGAGAGAGAGAGAGAGAAAGAGAGAGAGAGGGGGAAGAGGGAGAGAGGGAGAGAGAGCTAGAGAGGAAGAGAGAGAGTTAAGAACATTATCGATTATGTGGTTAGAGCCGTAATAACGTTTATGTGCAGGTTAGCGATTTTAGCAAAGCAACATTTTCTCTAATACCGCCGTTCGTGTCAATAAACCGTTAAACGCTAGTTAGAAATAATTTCAAAGTTAAGTCAATTAAGGTATCGCTAATTGAGAACTTCTGATAAAAAACTATAAACACTAACATTGGAAAACAATGTTCAACATGAATACTTTTTATTGGGGATTTTAAATTAAATTTCTTTTATAAACACTTTTCTTTTTCATTTTTTTTTCTTTTTAAATAAAACATTTCTAAAGTGAGTAATTAAAAGCTTTAAACTGTATTTAAACTAAAATGAAACCAAATTCTCAAGTAAAACATTGGTTGCTAAAACTTCAGAACCATATTGTATGCGATAGGATCACAAACTTTCAGGCGACCTTTTGGGGGGTACCGCTTCCCCCCACCCCTTTCACGAATCACATACGAAATAGAGGTTATGTACAAAATATATACTTCAAACAGTGTCCTCCCACCCCCCACCCCCACCGCCTCGACAGTTTTGATAACCGCCACCGCCCCCCCCCCCACCCACCCCCACCCCCGTAAAAATGTATGAAAGAATCACTGATTAATTAATTTCTCAGCACAATGTAACCAGTCTGCATAAGCAAGCTATGGCAGTTATGTGCTAATGTCGATAAATATTTAACTCGATGTGTGCTGTTTACAGACATTAAGAACAATACGTTAACGATGTGTGCGATTAACTCTATATTTAGTAATGGGTTTTTCACAGTTGAAGTGAAAGTACAAACATTGACGCGAAAGTAATTGTCCATTAACGTTTCTATATATTCGTATATAAAAGTAAGGGTTGTGATGACACCAGTGCAATTTGCTTTTAGATCTAGACAGTGTCAACCTTGAAAGTAAGTAATAAAGCGTGGTCTCAATGTAGAAAATGGGCAATATAATTTCATTTTTGCGGCAACTTGGTATAACGTTAAAGAATTATTTTTAAAGGTAGTGTATCTTAAAATTAACAGCATAACCTTTAATAAAATAAGAAAAACATTTTACCGAATATAACGAAGGCACTAAGGAGAAACTGCACAGTGATATCCATTTTCTTTGTTCGCCTGGTCTTGTCACACTGAAATCTTTCTAAGCTATGCGCTGGTAAAGGCAAGGGAAGCTACTACACATCTCGCTGGGCCAGGCAGGGGAAGCGACTCCACATCTCATTAGCGTGACTGGGTAAAAGATGGCGCGTGGAGGATGCTGGTAGAAATGGTAACAATGGGTATCGATACTCGATACTCAAACCATCCATGATAAAGTCCTGATTAGTTATTTTATACAAATACCATTTTTTTGTAGTCGATTTGTGAAGGGGTTAAAAATAGAACACTACTCGGTTGTTTTTTTAGAGTTTCGTTTCGAATTTTTAAATGTTAGAAATTTTGATTCACTTTAATTTGAAAATTATGTTATAAAAAAACGCCATGGTGTAAAAAAAAAAAAAAAAAATGATTTTTTAAATTCGTGTTTTGTCAAAAAACTGTTGTGAAAATACAAGCTTTTCAATGCATAATTTGTTTTAGAAGTTGTTTTTGTTTAGTTAATAAATAGCGATTTCAAGTTTGGTTAGTTAAAAACGTATTTTTATTAAATAATCTTTTGAAATGTGGGTACGGCTGGCTAACCAATAACAACCCCCTCCTCCCCCTCTATTCTAGCCCCGTCATGTTTTACCAGATTCCTTAGCCAGGCAATCGATACAGAAATCAGGTCAACCGCCCTAAAATTTTGTACGCCGAAAAAGCGGTAAAATACAGCCCCCCCCCCCCTCCCACCCCTACATGGCCCAGCTTCTGTATTCGACCCCCCCCCTCCCCCAATAGCTCACCCTCCCAAATGCCAGCCTCAACCAAGGCCAAGGCCAAAAACTCCAAGCACACAGATATTGATGCTGAATGGTTTTGTCACTTTGTCGGACTAAAACCTAGGCCAGCGGAGTTGTGGGTCCTGGAATTCTTTAGTTACTTCATGTCTACCAATATTCTGTCTACCCCTACCCACCCCATCATCGCCCCCTTTATCATTCCCCCCCCCCTCCACCTTCATCCCCACTGAAACATGTTCGCATCTATAAATAACTATAACCGTTGTCTTTCCCCTTTACCACCCACCTTTCATCCTCCCTAAAACGTTCGCGTCAATATTAAAGTAACCTATAACCCTTGTCTACCCACCTCCCCCCAATCCTCATTATCAACTCTCCTTCTCCACCCTTCCAGGCGAGACATTGAATGTGAGAATATTATGACGTATCACGGGTAACGTAAGCAGACGTTAATAAGATGTTATCTTTTGTGTAGATCTTTATGGCGATCCTTTGCCAAGTCTCGTTCAAAGTGAATAACACGGTAGGGGAAGTAACCGGACTGGACAAGCCGTTGTAGGGGAGGTAATATGTGCTGTTGATTTTGTCTAGTTTTGTGCATTTTTTCTTTTAAAAGTATTTTTGTAAAAAAATTATATTTGTTTTAAAATAACTATCTGTAGTGTTTTTGAACGGATTTTAAAGTCTAAATTTAATACATCCACAAGTAAAATTTAAAATTTATTGAAACCATATGTAACTAATACGATAAATAAATATAAATATAAAACTATCAAATATGATTATAATCTTTACAAGTCACTTATTCCAATACAAATGATTGTGATAGCAATTTTTATAAATATTTCCACAATATTTGTTTTAATCTCCTTACTGTACAATAAACTAGCCGTCCCGGCAAGGCCCTGCTCTGGCTTCTGTGAAAAACCTTTCTGTTAAAGACCATTACCTGTGTGTTTAGTAATCATCATAAACCCGGCATTGCCCACCCAAACCACAACCAACCAAAACCAAAACAACAAAACGCAAACATAACGCTAACACAATTACAAATACAAACGAAAACAAAAACCTAACAACAAAGCCAACCACAACAACATACACCAATACGAACACAAAGAAAAAAAAAACGAAAAAGCAAACGAAAACAAACCAAATCCAAACGCAAAACCAACCACAAACACAAACCTAAAGAAAAAAACACAAACGAAAAAGCAAACGAAAACAAACCAAACCAAACGCAAAACCAACCACAAACACAAATACAAACACAAACCCAAAGAAAAAAACACAAACGAAAACGAAAAAAGAAAGAACAAAAACGAAACAAATCAAAACGCAACCACTAACGCAAACCTAAACACAAAGAAAACACTAACGCGAACATAAACGCAAAGTGCTCACAGTCTAGCTCGGGGCGGAATCGCCTATTTCAGCTTAATAAACGACTATAGTACCCCAACTTATTCATAGTCTTTTGCACTCACTTAAACGAACGTAGGCGCCAAACCGAACACGGGAGACCCGGGGCCCCAAATAGCACCCTGTCTGGGCGCCAGAGGACGCCCGGATCCGATTCACTTAAAGACTATAGTAACCTTTCTTATCCATACTCTATCGCACTGTTTAAAGCGAAATTATGCACCATAGCGCTCACAGGATAGCTTAGGGCGCCAAATTGAACCCTGGTGGGGCGCCGGCGGACGCGCCTGTTTCAATTTAATGAACAATTATAATACTCCAAGCTTATCCGTAAAATACCTAAAACATTTGCACTTGATCAATCCCCGCTAATTATGTAATATTTTTTTCCCCAACACCAAAACAAAGTAATAAAATAGTAAATTCTTTTCCACTAAAGCAATGTTTTATAAAGGGAAGTAATTGTGTTTTCCTAATTTATCAAAGGGAAGTAAGTGCTAAAGGACTAAATATAAATAATTTTCAGACATAATTAGAATTTTGGTAAAAGATGATATTTTTAAAAATTGTGTTTAATGAACATGCCGACAATTATTACTATCAGTTTAAAAAATGAAAACTATTTCAATAGTAATATTTTAACTCATAAATTTAGACCATAAGTACTATAATAATCCACGACAAACATTTTACATTTTACAAACATGTTGCAAACAAAATTGAACTTTATATATTAGATGCCAACATAAGGTGCCTACATAGCTGAGATGATAGTGTTCTTTATACCACGCAGGTGGTGCGGGATCGAGACATACCAAGTCGAACATATTAGATGCCAACATAATTTAAAAATAGTGATTTTGAAATTACATACAAACGTAAAACATATTATTCTAAATGTTTAAAAATAAAAATACAAACAGTAGGAAGACTTTAAGGTTGTAGCTGTTTAAAACGGAAGAATGCTTGGTTTGATACGTCTTATTCTGCTCTATATATCATCCATCCTACGCATAATATCATAATATAATATTAATCCCAAATTCGTTACAGCCTCAGTTATGAGCCTATTTCCTTTAGCCTACCCCACCGAAAAAATGTCCTTCTGATGTTTTTTTTATTTTATTTCAGTACTCCCACATACCACTTCCAACTCTCAAGAAAACATCAAACCACCATTCATTTAAACATTTAAATTTACAGGTTTAAAAAATAAATTATCAGACGTTGTGTATTATGTATTAAACAAACCATTTTCAATAAATGAAGAGCATGTCAAAAAGAAGTATTACCATTGTACATCTGTACCATTTCTCATAAGCCGATGATGAAAACTGTAATAGAATCGCAAACATGTCAAGGTAAAATGACGATGTAAATTGCATGTCTGAGGCAAATAAAAAAAATGGTAGTGAATTTAAGGACTTTTACATTGTGACTCTGCGCCTCAATTTTATTACACGGGTTGAATTTTACCATATAATTTTCCCAATGTGACTTGCTATTGTTCCCTTAATATATTTTAATAGGGCTGGTAAGTATGTCACCAACCATCTCTACGGTTAAATAAAACCTGCAAGAGCCATAGAACTGGTTGGTGACCTACTTACAAGCCCTATTCCCACCTTACGCCGCATACAAACCATGCGGGTTAGTTGGTCAAGGACCGGAGTGATACCACCATCTGTCCAAGCATTGGAGCTGTCGAGATATTCAAGAAACAGGAGCTGTTAAACTTTTTCTCCTGTTGTAAACGTTATCGATTCTGTGGACCAAAGCCTGCATCAACTGGCGGGATTTGGTTTTATTTGCTGCTAGGTCTGGTGTGCTTTTGTTATAAAGATGGCCATATGATGTGGTTTACGGTTTACGGCTAGAACACATAAACTTTATACAAAGTTGAGAAGAACCAGTATATATATATATATATATATATATATATATATATATATATATATATATATATATATATATATATATATATATATATATATATATATATATATATATATATATATATATATATATATATATATATATATATTGGCGAAAACAGCTGGGCACACATGGGCACAGATAAGGGATCAGCCCAAAACCGAGTCCGATGGAGATGTGTGGTTGCAGCCCTTTGCTCCCCAGGGGCCAAAAGGGAATGATGATGACGACATATATATATATATATATATATATATATATATATATATATATATATATATATATATATATATATATATATATATATATATATATATATATATATATATATATATTTATATTTATATATATATATACAATATATATATATATATATATATATATAGCTTCAACATTCTTGAAGAAATACAGATACAAGCTTTTATTTTTTTTTCAAATATAACCAAAAATGCATGTAGAAATGCAAAAACATCCTTTTATTTATTAAAAAATATATTTAATTATCGTATAATAATTCTGACGTTGACAGTTGGTCGCAGCATTGAGCAAAACTGCCACCCTCTTCTCTCCCTTCTCATATGCTTTGTCCTCGGTTTCTCCGCTAGCTCTTGTCAAGCGCTGATTACAAATTTCTCAAGCTCTCCCGCGAGTAGAGATCGCTTTTGTCTAGTTCACGATCCCTAGGGGGCGCGCCATTGTTGCCCCAGTAACCTTTCTAGGCTCGCGCTTTCAGCTGCTAAAAACATTGCTTGGGGGTAAATAAGCGAAACAAATCAATGAAAAAATGTTTGCTGAATTATCCTGCTAGTTTTAGCATCTGTGTTAAAAATTAATTCTATTAAAACTTTTAATTTAATGATAAACAAAAGAATCCGATACCCTATGAGTAAAACACATTGGTATTGCGAAACACTTTGTTTTAAATAGCAAGGGTGTGTTGGGGTTAGGGTTAGGGTCAAGGTTAGGGTTAGTCGGTGCTGGTCACAAATTACTATAATTAGAGATCAACAAGAGATACCAAAAGATAAAAGAAAATTGCAGGTTCTTCTCAGTTTAAAGTTGGTACTTAGCAAGGATAAATCGTGCACTTATAACGGATAAATCTTATATTTAGTCGTGTATTTATTTAGATAGGATAAATCTTGTATTTAGATAGGATAAATCTTGTACTTAGCAAGGATAAATCTTTTATTTAGATAGGATAAATCTTGTATTTAGCAAGGAAAAACTTAAAGAATAAATCTTGTATTTAGAAAGAATAAGTCTTAGTAATCGTGTAGGCCCTACTCATAATGAATAGTGTACTTTGTAAAGAAAAACTCGTCTGTATGATGTCACTTGAATTTATTCCCTTTTGACATCTGCTTGATGTGCACATTTCACCAGTCATACTTACATGACGTCAGACTAATAAGTACAGGAATTTTGGATTTTACATGACGTAAGAAAGGGTCATTTATTTACATACTGGGCAGGAAATGTTGACCTTAGTCAGTTAAACTTAGGATTGATTAAACATATGGTATAACTGATTGAGAGTCCATGTGTCTTGGGCACAAAAGAGAAAAGACGATGTTATCAGCCCAATGTGTACCTGATACTGTATCTGTCATGAACGTCAAAAATTTAGATGGACAATTCAATCTTTGCACAGTCCCGTTATTTGCTAAAATCGCTATAAAAATGTTCGTATGCTTCATCAGAACTAACAGTATAGTTTTTTTTAATCTGGAAGGCCTTCGGCCAGATGAAGTAGAGTTCACCTGTTTCGGTGACCTCGGCACAAGAACTGTTAACACGGGTAGTGTCAGTACTATCCCCAGCCACTTTTACTTTCTGTGGTGGACTAGTCTGGGTGGACTCAAGGAATTCTGACCAACTCGATCTTGTCCTCCGAACTCTAGACCATCGTGAAAGCAGTCTTATTCTTTACCACAGCAATCCCCTCATTAATAAAAAGAGCATTGATAACCGTTATTGATGGGTTGGCTTAGAGTGGTCATTTTTTTTGTCGTACCGGTAGGAAGCATATGGAAGACAATAGGCCGTCCCTTCATCAATACCAACGGGATTGAAATTAGCCATAGTTGGCTAGGCGTGGTCATTTTCAATTGTAACGGTACCAAGGAAATACAAGATAGATGTAAATGGCTGAATTCTGGGGGGGGGGGTCGCATTTTTTTTATTGTTCCACTGTGTCGTTAAAGTAGCCATCAAATGTCATGCTAGATCCTAAACCACGTGACCAACGGGTCTCTGGTTTACTGACTGGGCTAATCGCCCATCAGTGGATCAATCTGATAACCTAATCCACCGACAAGACGTTATATAGTTGACCAAGTGCGCCATGATGGTTCCCGTAGGAGAAACAGGGAATTATAAGAAGTACTAGCTAATCGAGCTCGCTGGAAAAGTCTAGTCTAGATCAGGAAATTAAAGGAAGTACTTGCTAATCGTGCTCGCTGTAAACTTCGAGTCTACATCAGGGAAATAAAGTGATACTTGCTAAGTGGAAAAGTCTCGTTTCGGCTGTCTTTCCCCTAGGGAGTAAAAAGGAATAATAAAAAGAAGAATTTGAATAATCCGACACAAATTTGTTTCTTTAAATTATGCAATACATTGAGGTGGATCCAGTGTTTGAATACACAAAGTATGCAATAAATGGATCTGTACCCAGTGTTCGAGTTAACAAAGTATGCAATAAATGGATCTGGATCAAGTGTTCGAGTTAACAAAGTATGCAATAAATGGATCTGTATCCAGTGTTCGAGTTAACAAAGTATGCAATAAATGGATTTGGATCAAGTGTTCGAGTTAACAAAGTATGCAATAAATGGATCTGAATCCAGTGTTCGAGTTAACAAAGTATGCAATAAATGAATTTGGATCCAGTGTTCGAGTTAACAAAGTATGCAATAAATGGATTTGGATCCAGTGTTCGAGTTAACAAAGTATGTAATAAATGGATCTGGATCCAGTGTTCGAGTTAACAAAGTATGCAATAAATGGATTTGGATCCAGTGTTCGAGTTAACAAAGTATGCAATAAATGGATCTGGATCCAGTGTTCGAGTTAACAAAGTATGCAATAAATGGATATGTATCCAGTGTTCGAGTTAACAAAGTATGCAATAAATGGATCTGGATCCAGTGTTCGAGTTAACAAAGTCTGCAAGAAATGGATCTGGATCCAGTATTCGAGTTAGCCCATTTGAAGTTATCTAATTTAATGGGGAATTTTTATGTAGGGTTACATTTTTATTTCATATCGTGTTTTTATGACTCCCACACGATAGTGTACAACTCCTTTTTTGAGCTCCTATATTCATTTCTTTTAATACATAAAGCTAGTTACCCACAATGCTTAGAATTACAGTAAAGTAACCCAGTTCTATGCCCACCTACGTTGGCTCTCCCTAACGTGAGTTATATAAAGTAAAGGCAGCTGGGCGTATAACGGACTACACACTCGTTATATCCAAACAGTGAATACACTCGCATTGATAGTAGGCTAGGGGTCGGTGTGGTCGAGTCTAGTTCGAATCCTCTGGCAGGTGAGGCTCGTAAGCTGGTGACAGCAACGCTTCTAGGAGAGACAACTCCAAAATCAAACAACTGCTGCCGTGTAGTTTAACCAGGTGACACAAAGTAATCTTTTTACGAGGAAAAATATTGAAGTGAACACTTAAAGCATTTTAAAATAATTTTTATTATACGTCTGAGGTAAAAAAAAATATATATTTTAAAGCAATAAAATATCACAATAAAATATTAAGTGCATGCTGACAAAATACATTGAATGGTAAGCTGGTAATTAAAAAGACAATAATGGAAAGGTTCATTGCAATAAAGCAAATTAATAGAGTTGGACTTTAATTTTAAATCTTACTATGAATACAAATAATTGTACAATGGAAGCTCGCTGTTTTCTGTTTACAAATCGGTCAATTGTAAAATAATTTGCTTAAAATAACTTTTTGTATTTTTCAAGCAATTTACTTTAATATATACATAAAAGGTATTTTACTTTTAACAAACACAACTTTCAAATTACGCTATTCATAACTTTAACAGCAGATAGACTAAAACAATTAAAGCTACAACTGTTTAACTTAAAAATACTGAAGCACTTGATCTAAAACTCAAGTCTCTGTGTAGGGTGTTACATCCCTTTAAGTGTTGTCACGTTGTTGTGGCGCAATTTCCGCTAATGCGTGTTGTCTCCCCTCATTTTTTTCATATCTCGATTTTAGTGGCGTTCATACGCCATTGGGCATCTGGTTAGCGATTAGACAAAGGAAGACCAGCGCTGAGAATAACAGGACCAGAGCTGGCTGCTGGGTACCTTAGGATTAGATCGATATGTCTGATGAATATATCTGTGTGTTGGGGGGATGAGTCACAGAAAAAAGGTCTTTGTAAATGCAGTAAGGGTGAATTGATTTTCTACATAGCCATTAATTAAGTAGAGTGGTAGCGTGTTTTTTTTTTATGAATTTTGCTTGATAATTTTGTGAGAGATTCCCCGTGTAAATTATGCTTTCAAAAAACATAATTTTCAATTTTATTCAAGTGTTCAAATTTTGCGCTTACAATTTTTTTTTTTTTTTTTTTTTTTTTTTTTTTTTTTTGCAATTTGTTAAATTTTCTAGTTTGAAGTCTACGTAAAACGGGTTTCTTTGATTCGAGTTAGCTGAACTCTCATTCACTTATCGATTTAAAAAAAAAAAAAAAAAAAACTGGTCTATGACGAATGCTCGTGCTATATGCTAGTCGACTGCTCACCTCTATATCATAACGTGACTAACGGGTTTTTTTTAGGTTAAGTTGGGTCACGGGTGCATAATTGATCGGTGACTAGTGAGTCACATGTCTCTGAAAGCTATGGCGACATCGCTCCTAATACCCTCATACATAATATAGTCATACTCAAGGTATTGTTTTACGTACAAGGAATAAACTGAGCCTTTTTGAACAATGTAAACACCATTCGTTCTTTGAATGAGCCCAAATAGTTTAATTATACCCACTAGTTCTATAAAATTGCACACCCATTATTTAAAGACGTGGACTTATTGATCAAGTTGTGCCCAAAAAATTTTTTAATATGCCAACCATTCCTCAGATGCAAATACTAATTATTCATTTATGCCCAACGTTTCCTAAAACGTGTACAATAACACGCCGACATAATTAGTAGAAAAAATACTTACCTTGGCTATTATTGTTTCCATCGCTTTTACCAGCGTCTAAAAAATATAATTATTATTTAAATTATCAGCAAGATAAACTATTTATAATAAAGTATCTCTCTCTCAATCTCTCTCTTAATCTCTCTCTCAATCTCTCTCTCAATCTCTCTCTCAATCTGTCTCACAATCTCTCTCTTAATCTCTCTTTCTCAATCTGTCTCTCAATCTCTCTCAATCTCTCTCTCTTAATCTCTATCTCTCTTTCTCAATCTGTCTCACAATCTCTCTCAATCTCTCTCTCTTAATCTCTCTTTCTCAATCTGTCTCACAATCTCTCTCACAATCTCTCTCTCAATCTCTCTCACAATCTCTCTCAATCTCTCTCTCTTAATCTCTATCTCTCTTTCTCAATCTGTCTCACAATCTCTCTCAATCTCTCTCTCTCTCTTAATCTCTCTTTCTCAATCTGTCTCTCAATCTCTCTCAATCTCTCTCTCTTGATCTCTATCTCTCTTTCTCAATCTGTCTCACAATCTCTCTCTCTTAATCTCTCTTTCTCAATCTGTCTCACAATCTCTCTCAATCTGTCTCTTAATCTCTCTCTTTATCTCTCTTTCTCAATCTGTCTCACAATCTCTCTCTTAAACTCTCTCTTAATCTCTCTTTCTCAATCTGTCTCACAATCTCTCTCAATCTCTCTCTCAATCTCTCTCTTAATCTCTCTTTCTCAATCTGTCTCACAATCTCTCTCAATCTCTCTCTTAATCTCTCTTTTTCAATCTGTCTCACAATCTCTCTCAATCTCAATCTCTCTCTCTCAATCTCTCTCTTAATCTCTCTCTTAATCTCTCTCTTAATCTCTCTTTCTCAATCTGTCTCACAATCTCTCTCTCAATCTCTCTCACAATCTCTCTCAATCTCTCTCTTAATCTCTCTCTTTATCTCTCTTTCTCAATCTGTCTCACAATCTCTCTCAATCTCTCTCTTAATCTCTCTTTCTCAATCTGTCTCACAATCTCTCTCAATCTCTCTCTCAATCTCTCTTTCTCAATCTGTCTCACAATCTCTCTCAATCTCTCTCTTAATCTCTCTTTTTCAATCTGTCTCACAATCTCTCTCAATCTCAATCTCTCTCTCTCTCAATCTCTCTCTTAATCTCTCTCTTTATCTCTCTTTCTCAATCTGTCTCTCAATCTCTCTCTTACTCTTTCTTGATCTCTCTCTCAATCTCTCTTTCTCAATCTGTCTCACAATCTCTCTCTTAAACTCTCTCTTAATCTCTCTTTCTCAATCTGTCTCACAATCTCTCTCTTAATCTCTCTCTTTCACACACTCTGACCCCATAACCTCTCACACACTGTCTTTCTCTCCCTCACTTGTCAGTACACCAAGATGGCGGTGTGGACTCTAATTTTACCACATTTAGAATACATGTATATACTCGGAAAAATCCTGCCTGTGACGAACGCTACACCCCCTATCAACGCCAGTATATAATCGCAGATACTGTCTGTATCCTATGATTCAGTAAAATATAAAAACACTAGCATTAAACTATGCAGCTTCAAGTTAGTTGTGTGGGTGGGGATCAGCCTAGATAGGCTCGCAATCGACTTGACCTGCTTGGTCTGAATACTCATCCATGGCGTCACTAGGTATGGCGTCACTAGGTGCGGTACCCAGGGTGACACCCCCTCCTAATGCCGTAGCCTAATATACAATACTTAAAGGTGTATTTGTATTCTGATATTATTCCTCTGAAAAGTTTTCCAATGATTTGTAACGCCATTTTCTCTCCCCTCGAATGATGCCTACCAGTAGGGTCCACACCTCCCACCCACCTCACCTGCTGGTACTGGTGAGGTGCTAAGTTTTACCTGCGCTATTGGTTCCATCTGTTGTCTGAGGACCTGTCAACAAAAATATTAACATTTGTTATCTGTTACTTTAAAGGCATGAAACGATAACAGGGTAGTTTGGTTGTATTGATGTTTGTTCGTGTCAACGACTGTTATAAAATGGGGGTAGTGTGTAGAGGATAGGTTATCACTTTTGATATGTAGTCTTATTATAATGGTATTTACATTCTGTGATAACTTTCTCAAAGACTTACATTCAATTTTGAGAGCCCCCCCCCCCCCTAAATGTAGCATTTTCCAAGACATACAATCTTTTCTCAAAGACTTACATTCTGAGTGCCCTACTAAATGTAGCACTTTCCCAAAGACTTACATTCTGTGGGCCTTACTAAATGTAGCACTTTCCCAAAGACTTAACAATCTGTGAGCCCTCCTAAATGTAGCACTTCCCCAAAGACTTACATTCTGTGTGCCCTACTAAATGTAGCACTTTCCCCAAACACTTACATTCTGTAGGCCCTACTAAATGTAGCACTTTCCCAAAGACTTACATTCTGTGGGCCCTACTAAATGTAGCACTTTCCCTAAAGATATTCTGTGAGCCCTACTAAATGTAGCACTTTCCCCAAAGATATTCTGTGAGCCCTACTAAATGTAGCACTTTCCCCAAAGACTAACTTTCTGTGGGCCCTCCTAAATGTAGCATTTTTCCCAAAGACTTACATTCTGTGGGCATGTTCTTGTAAAGTTCAAGCTGAGACTTGATGTCAGGCTTATCCTCACATCCTTTCGTGTTAGAGATCAGACATGTATACACCTCTTTGTAGGATCTGGATAGGGGGGTAGGCATGGCGAAAATTACAAAAATATTACAATATTGCTTCATTAAAATATAAATAACAATTGTGTGCACAGGGTTCCTTTCAGATATTTTTCTCCTGATGGCGCTTAAAACTTCCAGATGAAGGAAGCGGGAGGCTGACAGTGTTAAAGCAAACATTTTGTATATCTTTTTTCGTGCTAGGGTGGGGTGGTGAACGTTTTCCGGCTGTGTCGTCCCCCCCCCCCCTACGCACAAATAGACGTCTGGAATAATCTCTGACGTACCTTATACACCTGATCAAGTGAGTGACTCCGCTAAATGTCACTATATACATGTTCTTGACGTCATTTCTGGACGACATTACATGACATTTTTTCTCCACAAATGTTTACGTAATTTTACAGTGGCGTGTATGTAGTTAAGCTAGGAGGTGGGAAGGTCATAGGTGTTTACATATTATTTTTAAATACATGTCTCACAAAAGTAAAGAGTTTTAATTGCATGAGCATTTTATAGTAAAATTTATTTCTGTGACGGTTTCGACTTTTTAATAATAATTTTATACAAATTAAACAATGATGGGACAGTGTGACCTAGCGGTAGAGAGCTAGACTGCTAATCCGAAATGCTCGAGTTCGAATCCGGGTTCAAGTCAGTCGAATGTCCATCAGTCCACCTGTGAGTACCTTACGTTAGGGAAAGTAAAGGCGGCTTGGCATTGTGTTGACCACACTATCCATTCAGATGTCGATGTCTCTGACACAGATTACCTCTACTTCATCTGCCCCATGCATCTTGGGTACGAACGAGAAAAGATGAGATGATGAGATTATAACCATTTCAGAGTTGATGATGATGATCTAGAACGCTCATGTAAGCCATGATGTTTTCAACAATGAGAAGAACAGCTTGAAATGTGAATGTTAGTCAATAGGATTGGTGGAGTGGAGCAGCGTTTTGTGTGAAAATCTCATTCAGTATTGTAGACAGCTGTGTCAATGGGGACAATGAATTGTGAACACGGCCCTAGGGCGCATGGTAGTTATTTGACTAGCATAGTGCCCCTGGCCCCAACCTGGCCAAGGCGATAATCCTAATCTTCACTTTAATCCATCCCTTAATCGATACACTAATTCTTATTTCTTGCCCTGAAAATAAATCCTTATTCATATCAATGTCCTTACCCAAATCTTTACCTTTATCCTTACTCAAATTCTTAGTATACTTCAATTATAATCCTTTTTCTTATCCTTATTCCTACGCATATCCTTAACCCCCCCCCCCCCATGCGCTTTAAAATGGTTACCATAGTCTTTACCTTTATCATTACCATAGTCATTGTTCTTAGCCTTACTCTAATACTTACCCTAACAATATTGATTAACTCTCACAATCCTAAACGCAATCCTTATCCTTACCTTATTCCTTATCACATATCCATACCCTAATCGTTACCCTAATCTTTATCCTTATCCATACCATAATCCATGTCCCTAATTGAATCAATATCTTTATCCTTACCCTTATCATAATCCTTACTGTAACGGTGTTAGTGAGGAGATGGGGGGGGGGGGGGAGGATAAAAACGTCGGTTCGATACTCTATCTATTTAAATATTGGCAAATGTACAGGAGCCGTTGATGATGATTGTTAACGAGAGTTGAAACGAGTGCGTGCTCGCTACTCCCATCACGTGAGTGCTGATTACTCTCATCACGTGATTATTCTCATCATGGCTGTGGAGACGTTGTGTGACGCATGTATTAGCACCCGCCCCTCCCATCGACCTGACCCCCGGGGACCAAGATATGCCCAGCACCTCGTTGTTCGCTCACCTCCGTTCTGTCCGCTTCAGACTCACAAAAAAAAATTTTTCTTAATTTTTCTGTTACTAGGAGATTCTTGTATCATAATAGGCTAGCAATATTATTCGATTAATTAAGAAGCTAATAGCTCTATCTATTTTTATTTTTAATTTGGATTAGTAGAGTCATGATGTTGTGCTGATAAGGGATGTTTATTTAATATAAATAAATATTTAATATAAATAAACAACCAGGCTATATTCCACTGACCGCAATAGGCGAGTGTATAGAAGACAAATTTTAATGCAGTATGTCCACTTTTTTGTGAAATCGATGTACATTTCTACTTATACTGATAATAATTAATACAACCTACAAGAATACTCATGTACAATGTCAGAAAAATAGAATGCAAATATTGTATGAATGTTTAAACATAATATGTTACACTATTTTAATATTGGAATAAGATTTATTAACTCATTTTTCTCGAGATGATGTTTTTGGACATACTGCATTTGTCCTCTATACACTCGTAGTGTTCTTTATTATGGAAAACAATTGTTGTGACTTTCATTGTTTTACGTTCCCTGGCCATTCCGGTTGACTTCAAGGAGGAGTTGAGGGCGGTTTCTAAAAATATTTAAATTGATAAAATTATTTTAAACGGCTTTTCGACGGCTTCAATACAAAATATGAAACTGAGTTTAATCGATATTTCCCTAACAGCTTTAATTTTTTTTAAATATAACTATAATTGTTTCGCTTGCCATATTTTTCAAAGATTTTTTTTTTAATTTATTATGATTACATTTACTTTTCAAAACCTATACTTACACATTTGCTCTTTGACAGAGGCGTAGCTAGGGGGGGCGGGGGGGCGGCCGCCCCGGGCGCCGACCCTTTGGGGGCGCCAAAAGGGGTGGGAAAAAATTTTTAAAGCTGATTTTATGCTGCAGTTTTGAATTATAAACTGTCTAAGTTAAGAAATGTAATGGCTACACGCCTTTACAAACTGATTTAACTGTTTTCTACCTTGATTTCTTAATGTAAAACATATACTCTTAAGAAACAGTGACCGGCAAAACCGCTTTGAAGCTTTACCTAGATGGGGGGGGCGCTTTTTCGAGACTTAAAACGGAAGAATTTACACTAGATTGTTGAGTCGATAAACGTTACCACTATTAAAAGAAACCAATTGTATTGAAACGTATTGTACGATTGTTGAACTGTAAAATACGTTAGTGACTTTTATCAAGATGGTGCAGGGGGGGGGGGGGCGCTTTTAGGCTAAATAAAATAGCAAAATTACACAGGATTCTGAGAAAACAACCTTTAGCTCTCAGAAAGAAACGAATTGTACTGTGCATTGTATAATTGTGTAACATTTTTAAAAAAAAGTTTGTTACGTTAAAAACCGCTCTACAAACTTTGTCCAAGATGGTTGTGATGAGTGTGTGGGTGGGGGTGGGGGCGCTTTTTTCGCTAAAAAAATCGCAAGTATTTGTACTGGATTGGTGAGCAGATAACTCTCTTAACACTTAGTAAAGAAACCAAGTGTATTAACGCGTAATGTACAATTTCAATAGCCAGTTTTGTTTTAAAAAAAAGACGCGACTAGTTCTTTGTAAGATTCTTACGATTCTCTCAACTTCAACGTGAGAGATCAGATACTTTTGATTGATTGCATTACATCTTACCTGGATCACTGAACTATATTAAAGAGAACTAAATATCACGGATTCTTGAATCCCTAAGCCACTAACCACCACTTTTTTCCATGCTCTTATTTCATTCTCCACTGTCTGTAATCTAGCTCCAAGCCATACAGTAAAAGAGACCACATTTAGTTATAGATCCTGATTGAATTTTTTTGACAATGCATTTGAGTTCTACATTTTCTTAGAGTATTAAAACGCGTTTTATTGCTGTTGATTATAATCAGAACGTCATGGGCTATCATTAAATTGATTGTTACTGCTTCTTCAATCAATACAATTAGTTCTGCATTTGTTGTTGACGTTGTGCGAGCAGTGTTTCTTCCAGACTTTTTTCTTCGGGGGGGGGGGGGGGGGGGGGCACTTGAAATTTTCGGGGGGGGGGGGGGGGCGGTAGACTTTCTTCGGGAGGGGGGGGGGGCGGACACTGTTAAACGTATATATTTTCTATATATAAATTTCATTTCGTTCGGGGGGGCGGTAAAAAAATTTTCGGGGGGCTTCGCCCCCCCCCCCCCCCCCCGAAGAGATGCCTGGAAGAAACTCTGTGTGCGAGAAGGCAGGGCTAATCTGCGAAATCCAAGACTACGAGCTGTTAACATCCGTTGGATTCCAGTTTGTTTTCTCTAGCTTGTTTTGTCATACCATCAACCAATCAACGAAATACCCATGTCGTATTCCAATGTGAACTATAAATATTTCTGATAACTTCTTCTTGTATGTCACTTGTGTGTCCTTACTCTAACAAACTTCGAATCCAACTATGTACCATATCACAACAGAGATCGTTCCAAAACTAGAACATTAAAGGCTGGTCTAAACATATTAGCGTTAGCTACAAACTACCCTCTAACACAGATCAGGCTTATTTTTTTTACTGACATTACTAATCTTTCGCAAAAAAAAGTTAAACGCATCTTAATGGGAATTAAATTGTCGTAAAGTTTTAAGGAATGAAAATCATACAATGTAATTATTAAACCTTGTCCGGACTGTAGCGTACACGCTTACTCACACGCTTACACACACAAATACACTCTTACCCACACACAAGCTTATATATAAACACACTATCACACACACATAATTATACACACACACACATGTATATATATATATATATATATATATATATATATATATATATATATATATATATATATATATATATATAAGCGGGGGGGGGGGCGCCAAATTGAAAGTTCGCCCCGGGCGCCGGGAAGGGTCGCTACGCCTCTGCTTTGAACTCTATCTGTTTCGGTCTACAAACTTTTCACTTGAACAATGTTTGTTACATCTATTTAAAATGCAATTGAACTTTGAACCGTTGGGCGGAACAAATGAATGACAGCCGTTACTCTTAGCTTCTTTGGATGTTATTTTAATTTTTTAAATTTTGTTAAGTATGTTTTTGTGACATATCCTACACAATATGACGGAGAGCCTTTACCCTGCCAACGCCTAGGAGAATAATTTTAAAAATGAACCCTATAAACCAGAGGCGTAGCGGGGATGAGGGGGGGGGGGGGGGGTACATATGTCCCCGGGCGCCGACCTTAAGGGGCGCCAAAATGGGTTGTAAAAACAAATTAAAATCTCATTGTAGCTGTAGTTTTGCATTATAAATATAAAAAATATATCGGGGGGGGGGGGGAGGGTGCAAATGGAAAGTTGTGGTGGGGGGGGGGGGGGGTGGGTGTAAATGGAAAGTTTTAGGGAGGGGGTCAAATTGAAAATTGAAAGGTTGATCCCTGAAATTATAAGTTTGACCCAGGCGCCGAGAAGGGTAGCTACGCCTCTGCTATAAACGCTGTCAGACATATTGTATATTCTGTGACATTAACAAAGACTCCCAAAATGCAAATCGCGGACATTGGTTTATCTTTCATTTAGCCGGAGAACAAAACAAAAGAACGGATGGTCGCTCTCATATTTGTATTTGATTAACATCGTGCATGCAATTATTTTTGGGATATCGCCTGATTCACCATCCACCCCCCTCCCTCTCCCAGCCCACCACCATCCCCGCAACACACATCCTATTCGCATTTTGTTTCATGTCTCTGTGGAGTATTGTAATTACTGCCCTTTAGTTGGGGACATGGTTGTTCGTGATCACGGGGAGACAGACACGGCGGAACTGACGCAATGGTGTATAATAAAGGGACATAATTCTATTAGATTTTTCAAAAAAAAAATTCCAGCCTTGCAATAAGCAGTAAAAAAAATGTTGTTTATTCAAAAATAAAAATTGGCATATGACTAATGGATGTTAAAATAGAAAAGGTTCTTACTCACATAGAAATAATTCTTAATGACTAGCAAAACTAAAAATAGCGATTACACCATAACAAATTTTAAAAAAAAAAAACAATATGGAGTATTTAGCAGCAGTAAAAAAAAAAACATCAGACTACAAACAACCAAAACTTGTAAATACCTAGCAGCAATAATAAATACAGATTAGACTACAAAAACAAGTAAAACGTGAATATTTAGTAGCAGTAAAAAAAACAGATTAGACTACACACAAACAAGAAAAACGTGAATATTTAGTAGCAGTAAAAAAAACAGATTAGACTACAAAAACAAGTAAAACGTGAATATTTAGTAGCAGTAAAAAAAACAGATTAGACTACACACAAACAAGAAAAACGTGAATATTTAGTAGCAGTAAAAAAACAGATTAGACTACACACAAACAAGAAAAAGTGAATATTTAGTAACAGTAAAAAAACAGATTAGACTACACACAAACAAGAAAAAGTGAATATTTAGTAGCAGTAAAAAAAACAGATTAGACTACACACCAAAAAAATCGCGAAGCAGTAAAAAAAAAACTATCAGACTACACACAAACTAAATATTGAAGTGCCTTTCACCATGTTTAAAATTTAGAACCCACAAACTAACCTGCAGTAGACATCGAGATTGGATTTATCCGGCTTTATCAGAATCTTTTTCGACGCGCAATCAGAAATTTTATCTGGCGTGCAGGCCTCTCCAAAAGCACCTGAGTAGGAATATCAAAATACTTTTAATACCTAACCGTTTCCTTTCATACATCAAAACGTTCAGTTTAAATTATCTACAATTTTAAAATCTATGTTTCGAACGTCTGAGAAAGCTTCTTGTATTTGGGCTAAATAAGAAAACTAAAATAAATAAATCTTACATCTACCAACATCTACAGAATGTAGCCTTTCGAGCTTGGCAGTCATTGACGCAGGCGAAGTAGAGTTCACCTGTTTCTGTGACCTCGGCCAATGAAGGGATAGTGTGGTCAGAACAATGTTCCGCTGACTTTACTTTCCCTAACGTGGTGCAGGTACTTATTAGAGCTGGGTGGACTCAGGGACGTTCTACTAACACGAACCGGGGATTTGAACTCTAGACTTTCGGGTTAACAGTTGTATGCTCTACCATCCGACCACGCCGTCCCTTATCAACAGAATGTATTAAAGCCAGATGCGTATTGAGGGGGGTGGGGATCGAGGGTACATATGTCCCCGGGGCGCCGACCTTAGAGGGCGCAAAAATGGGTTGGAAAAAAATTAAAAGCTCATTTTAGCTGCAGTTTTTCATTATAAATATAAAAAAATATATGGGGGGGGGGGGGGGGGTTTGAAAGTTTGTCCCCGGGCGCCGGGAAGGATTGCTACGCCTCTGATTAAAGCTAATTTACTTTGCAATTAGACAACACTAACCCAAGAACTGACTATGACCATAATATCCCATACAAATATATTTTCGTGCAAATGTGTTCCTAAGTACAGATAAGTCTTTTTTTTTTTTTAAATAGACAAAGCATTAATTTCTTGAGACATAGATGACGTATGCAAAACATGTAAATGAGATATTGAGAAATATAGAGGGAAAAATGGGGAGTGGGGGTGGGGAATCTTATTATGCTAAGTATCTTATTATCTTAATTACTTTTCCAGTCCTATTTAATTACGACATTTAAATGGCAGCTCGCTAATTACCCGACAAAATATTGTGACACAGAATGCACTAAATCTGTCATCGGGTGTGTGTTAAAAATGTATTTCAACACACACAAAAACGCAAGCCTATACGAGGGAGAATACATAATTGGCTGTGCCTAATGAATGAATGAAAACGCCTTCTATAATAATGTCACTAATGTGGTTGTGCTGGCATTTTTAGATGGTCGAATAATTACCCGCAGCCGTCGGTCAGTTGTTGATATACATGTGTGGTAGTTGTTGAAATACATGTGTGGTAGTTGTTGCTTCATTGTAGGCGGATGAGTAGACGGTCTAAAGGTATGTTGTAATGCTACCCAGTGGGGTCGCTAGTTCGGGTATCACCCGGTGCGGCACTTCGCGGTGTCACCCCAAGGGAAAAAATAATTAAAATTTTATATATATATATATAGTATATATATATATATATATATATATATATATATATATATATATATATATATATATATAAATATATATATATATGTGTGTGTGTGTGTGTGTATGTTTATCTATAGTCCGTTAATTATACAGTTGGATGTAGTAATGTTTTCTCTATAGTTAGCACGTTTACGTCATGGTGTCACCCCCTTTTGTAATAATTGTCGATTTTTTACTTAAAACACTGTTTAAATTTAAATTAATCATTAATTGAACTGACAAAAATAATTTTTTCTTCTGTACATTTTGCAATTTATTTTTTAGCCTTGGTGTCACCCCCCCCCCCCCGAAATGGTGTCACCCGATGCGGTCCCGCATCCCCCGTTCCGCCCTTTCTACGCCTGTGATGCTACCAACCGATTTGACGCGTGTGTGCACCTGCTTAATGACACAAACTTACATTCCTGACGAAGTTCACCCCCACCCCTCTGTCGCTCAAAATTAAGTTGTGGTACAGTTACCTTGATCACCACCCGACAGAGGCGTAGCGAGGGGGGGGGGGGTGGGGCGGGGGGTGCGGACCGGACCGGGTGAAACCATTTAGGGGGGTGACACCAAGGCAAAAAATAGCAAAATATATAGAGAAAAACTTGAGGGGGGGGGTGCAAATCGAAAGTTTGTGGGGGGGGGGGGGTTGCAAATCGAAAGTTTGAGGGGGGGGTGACACCCGACCTCGCTACGCCACTGCCACCCTGTGCATAATCAATTATTTTAGGACCTTTCATTACACCCAGATAAAACCAAAACACTATTTGTAATCTCGAAAAAGATTTACTTTAAAAAGAAAACTACATCATATCCCATCATTTTAGATTATTAATACGATTTTTAATTTGAAACAAACGCCATGTATTGCAGTAAAAGACAGAAAGCGCCAACCTATTGAAGAAGCGGTTCCAACAGTTTTAAACAGCAATAGCTAGACAAAACAAAATACCAGTGGTAGTTGACAGTGGCGTAGCGAGGTCGGGTGTCACCCGGTGCGGCACTTAATGGTGTCACCCCCCAGAGGCGTAGCGACCCTTCCCGGGGACAAACTTTCAAGTTTTTAATTTGCACCCCCATCCCTCAAACTTTCGATTTGCACCCCCCCCCCCTCTCAAGTTTTCGATTTGCACCCCCCCCCCCCCCTCAAACTTTTGATTTGCACCCCCCCCCCCCAAGTTTTTCTCTATATATTTTGCTATTTTTTGCCTTGGTGTCAACCCCCTAAATGGTGTCACCCGGTAAGGTCCGCACCCCCCCGCCCCGGTAGTTGATTATATTGTCCTAACCACCCTCACCCCATATGACACCCTCTGTCCTTTATTTGTTAATATATATGTGCATGATCCATTATGCTTTGGCTTCTGTGAAAAACCTTTCTGTTAAAGACCGTTACCTGTGTGTTTAGTAATCATCATAAACCCGGCATTGCCCACCCAAACCACAACCAACCAAAACAACAAAACGCAAACATAACGCTAACACAATTACAAATACAAACGAAAACAAAAACCTAACAACAAACCCAACCACAATCACAAACACCAATACAAACACAAAGAAAAAAACAAACAAAAAAGCAAACGAAAACAAAAACCTAACAACAAACCCAACCACAACCACAAACACCAATACGAACACAACGAAAAAAACAAACGAAAAAGCAAACGAAAGCAAATCAAATCCAAACGCAAAACCAACCACAAACACAAACCCAAAGAAAAAAACACAAACGAAAAAGCAAACGAAAACAAACCAAATCCAAACGCAAAACCAACCACAAACACAAATACAAACCCAAAGAAAAAAACACAAACGAAAACGAAAAAAGAAAGAACAAAAACGAACCAAATCAAAACGCAACCACCAACGCAAACCCAACCTAAACACAAAGAAAACACTAACGCGAACATAAACGCAAAGTGCTCACAGTCTAGCCCGGGGCAGAATCGCCTGTTTCAGCTTAATAATCGACTACAGTACCCCAACCTATTCATAGTCTTTTGCACTCACACGAACGTAGGTGCCAAACCAAACCAAATGAACAATTATAATACTCCAAGCTTATTCGTAAAATACCTACAACATTTGCACTTGATCAATCCCCGCTAATTATGTAATTATTTTTTTCCCAACACCAAAACAAAGTAATAAAAAGTAAATTCTTTTCCACTAATGCAATATTTTATAAAGGGAAGTTATTGTGTTTTGCTAATTTATCAAAGGGAAGTAAGTGCTAAAGGACTAAATATAAATAATTTTCAGACATAATTAGAATTTTTGTTATTTTTCTAAAATTGTGTTTAATTAACATGCCGACAATTATTACTATCAGTTTGAAAAATGAAAATTATTTCCCAACACTTTCAATAGTAATTTTTTAACTCATAAATTTAGACTATGAGCACGATAATAGTCTAACACTTAAATCCATAGAAGTATGTCAACGACAAACAAACTTATTTTATTAAATATATATATATATATACTAGCCGTCCCGGCCAGGCCCTGCTCTGGTTTCTGTAAAAAAAAACTTTCTGAAGACCATTACCTGTGTGTTTAGTAATCATCATAAACCCGGCATTGCCCACCCAAACCACAACCAACCAAAACAACAAAACGCAAACATAACGCTAACACAATTACAAATACAAACGAAAACAAAAACCTAACAACAAACCCAACCACAATCACAAACACCAATACAAACACAAAGAAAAAAACAAACAAAAAAGCAAACGAAAACAAAAACCTAACAACAAACCCAACCACAAACACCAATACCAACAAAAAAAAAACAACGAAAAAGTAAACGAAAACAAACCAAATCCAAACGCAAAACCAACCAAAAACACAAATACAAACCCAAACAAAAAAACACAAACAAAAACGAAAAAAGAAAGAACAAAAACGAACCAAATCAAAACGCAACCACTAACGCAAACTCACCTAAACACAAAGAAAACACTAACGCGAACATAAACGCCCGTGGCGGAATCACCTGTTTTAGCTTAATGAACGACTATAGTACCCCAACTTATTCATAGTCTTTTGCACTCACTTAAACGAACGTGCCTGTTTCAATTTGATGAACAATTATAATACTCCAAGCTTATCCGTAAAATACCTACAACATTTGCACTTGATCAATCCCCGCTAAGTATGTAATTATTTTTTTTTCCCAACACCAAAACAAAGTAATTAAAAAGTAAATTCTTTTCCACAAAATGCAATGGTTTTATAAAGGGAAGTAATTGTGTTTTCCTAATTTATCAAAGGGAAGTAAGTGCTATAGGACTAAATAAAAACATAATTAGAATTTTTGTAAAAGATGATATTTTTTTAACCTTGTGTTTAATGAACAAGCCGACAATTATTACCATAATTTGAAAAATGAAAATAATTTCCCAATACTTTCAATAGTAATTTTTTAACTCATAAATTTAGACAAATGCGCACGATAATTGTCTAACACTTAAATCCATTCAAGACCAACGACAAACATATGCGTTACATACAGAACTGAGCTTTATATATTAGATATTACTAGCCGTCCCGGCCAGGCCCTGCTCTGGCTTCTGTGAAAAACCTTTCCGTTAAAGAGCATTACCTGTGTGTTTGGTAATCATCATAAACCCGGCCATGCCCACCCAAACCACAACCAACCAAAACAACAAAACGAAAACATAACGCTAACACAATTACAAATACAAAAGAAAACAAAAACCTAACAACAAAGCCAACCACAACCACAAACACCAATACAAACACAAAGAAAAAAACAAACAAAAAAGCAAACGAAAACAAACCAAATCCAAACGCAAAACCAACCAAAAACACAAATACAAACCCAAACAAAAAAACAAACAAAAACGAAAAAAGAAAGAACAAAAACGAACCAAATCAAAACGCAACCACTAACGCAAACCCACCTAAACACAAAGAAAACACTAGCGCGAACATAAACGCTCGGGGCGGAATCACCTGTTTTAGCTTAATGAACGACTATAGTACCCCAACTTATTCATAGTCTTTTGCACTCACTTAAACGAACGCGCCTGTTTCAATTTAATGAACAATTTTAATACTCCAAGCTTATCCGTAAAATACCTACAACATTTGCACTTGATCAATCCCCGCTAATTATGTAATTATTTCTTTTCCCAACCAGAGGCGTAGCGAGGAGGGGGGGGGCCGGGGGGGCGCGACCTTAGGGGGGGGCGCCAAATTGAAAGTTTGAGAGGGGGTGCAAATGAAAAGTTTGAGGGGGGGGGGGTGCAAATCAAAAGTTTGAGGGGGGGGGGGGGCAAATCGAAAATTTGCTCCCGAGGGGGGCGCCAAATTGAAAGTATGTCCCCGGGTGCCGGGAAGGGTCGCTACGCCTCTGTTCCCAACACCAAAAAAAAGTAATTAAAAAGTAAATTATTTTCGACTAATGCAATGGTTTTATAAAGGGAAGTAATTGTGTTTTCCTAATTTATCAAAGGGAAGTAAGTGCTATAGGACTAAATAAAGACATAATTAGAATTTTTGTAAAAGATGATATTTTTTTAAACTTGTGTTTAATGAACATGCCGACAATTATTACTGTAATTTGAAAAAGGAAAATTATTTCCCAACACTTTCAATAGTAATTTTTTAACTCATAAATTTAGACAAATGCGCACGATAATTGTCTAACCCTTAAATCCATCCAAGACCAACGACAAACATATGTATTTTTACATACAGAACTGAGCTTTATATATTAGATTTATATATATTAGATATAAATGTGCATGATCCATTGATTGCTTCAAGTATGTATCTTATGTATCCTCCCTCGTACAAGGTTACGTTTTTGTATGTGTTGAAATACATTTTTAACACCCGTTGACAGATGTAGTGTAGGCTGTGTCGAATTCTATTGAGAGATTTAAAAAATGAAACGAAATATATCTGTGGACGAGGCAGAGGCGTAGCTAGGGGAGGGAGTGTGGTTCGGCCGCCCCAGGCGCCGAACCTTTAATGGGGCGCCAAACGGCTGAGAAAATGATAAAAACCTCACTCTGAGCTACATAACTGAATTATACAAAGTTTATCATATCGAATACCACTTGGATTTACAGTTATTTCAATGATAAAAAGTGCCCCCAATCAGTGCTTATTGCGGGGGGGGGGGGGGGGGGGGGGGAATAGGCCATTATGTATACTATATAACTGGAAATGGGGGGAGGCTGAAAATTGATAGCCCGCACAGGGCGCCGAAATGATTTGCTCTGGAACAAGGCTGTTTCAATATATAGGGGGGGGGGGGTGGAACTGCCGGATTGTTTGTTTTTGTTTTTTTGTTTTTTTTTTTCTGACAGACGGCACTACGCCACACCTAAAAGCCTCCCATTTCAGGGATCCCTCGCCTGATTAGTCGAGCCACAGAACTATTTTCTGCCTCGTTGCGAACCGCCGAGCCTCGTGTCGGATGTTCTGTTTACTGTTCTACTGTGACATCATCATTCACCCCGACGATATTTATATACCTCGCACATGTCAGCAATCTAGTAACGCCGGCCGGAACGGTGTTAGGTTTTATGGCCAAGGGGAAAAACTCGCCAGCCACACAAATACAGTAGAGTCCCCTTTGAGTAAAGTGCAACAGTTGTTTGTTTTTACCATGAAAAATGACCAGAATTTTAACACACGTTGATTAGCTGACTTGGATAAATCATCATGAATTTATTAATTCAAAATTGTAATCTCAGTTTTTTAAATACAATTTTATCACATCATTTTAGAATAATAAGAAACGAGATCTAAACTAGATTGCTTTATTTCGATACATAATCATGTATTCTATTAATTCAAAAATGCAATCACATTAATATTTTAGAAAAGCTACATTTTATCCCGTCATTTACGAATAATAAAAAACAAGTTCTAAACTAGAGTCTAATTTCATTATCCTTTGTTATATTTAATGAGTCCTAATTAATTATGAACCGCACTGTTTATTTAAGATTGTATACCAGCAAGCTGTTCATCTATGGGGGGGGGGGGTGGTAGATACCCCCCCCCCCCCCCCCCCCTTCGTTGAACTTTAAGTGTGAACGCCCATTGTTATTATAAAGAGGAAGAAGAAAAAAAAAACGAGTAATAAATCGTGCAACTATTGAATGCGTGACGTGCGGCCGACAGCCTATGATACACACACACGGGGCATCGTTCACAACAAGACGACGATTGTGAACGAGAGCACGGAGGAGAGATGTGTTAACGACTTACCCAGATAGGCAACTACACACAACACGATCCAGGCAGCCAACATGTTTCTCATCTCGACTAGAAAGAGCGGAATTTTGATAATGAATTCTACGCAAGTTGGGGCGAAATGAGCAAGCACTGGCAACGTGATTGAGGAGGAAGGGGGGGGGGGGTGAAGGTAGGGAGTAGGGGAGGTAAATGGTCTACCCATTGTGTGTGCACGTCGGCTTGTTATTTGTTTTTCTTCTGCCAGGGTTTGGAGTTGTCTGTCTTGGCTACTCTGGGTTATCTGCCTTGGAATAGCTTGGGTTAAATATATAAAATTGGAGGGATCAATTAATTAAGGAGAGTGTGTGTGGGGGGGGGGGGGGGGGGGACTGTGCGTTGTGTACAAAGGAAGGCGTGGGGAAAAAAGGTTAACTTAAAATAGCGCTTCTTTTTTTTCTTGTTAAGTTTGGCAGTTGTTTAGGGGGAAAATCTTTTTTTTTTTTCTTTTCTGTGCTCAAGACACATGGGACTGCTGAGGAGAAAACGGTTGTTTTTTTTTTTAAATATATATTGATATTGATTAATTTACGAATTTTTGACATTAGATCATCTTCGTTTGAGTGTATCTGCTAGTTACTTAAATTTGAAAACCCACCAGTAGTGGTTTTATAAGGTCAATAGTTCATTGACGTCAATAGAAAGTTATAGGAAAAGAAAGATTTAGGATGGTTTTAGCTTAAACATCCGAACATGGACTTCTACACAACACGGCACGATTCTCGACCCCCCCCCCCCTTTCTGCCTACCTTCCTTCCCCCCCCCCCCTTCCCCCCAAACGCGTTCAATTAACACGGTTTACGAGGAAAGCTAAAAAAAAAATGTAATTAAATTAAAAACGTAATTGAAACGTAAAAGTCATTACATCACTCTCTAAATCAGTTACCTCGCCGGCGGGTATGGGAGGGGTGGGGGGCACAAACACCCACCCAATGTCATAATAGAATAAAAAAAATTAAATACAAAATATTTACTTTACCATTTTACACATCTTTATAATTGCTCCCCCCCACCCCCATCACTCACACACACACCCTCCAACCCCCGCAATTTGCAAATGTCACCCTCTTTCTCTTCCAGAGAGCAACGCGTCTGAAAAAAAAAGACTCCTAATTAACAGCATAACTTTCTGCGCAATTTCTCTAATTAGAATAATAACCCCACCCCTCCCCCACCCCACCTCCCACCTCCTCCCGCTGTGAAATCCCAACGTGAGTAGTTTGCACAAATATTGCCAAAATCCTATTTAACACTGCGGTCATCTCCTCTGCTTAAATACTCACACAGCCGCGTGCTGTGTCTATACTTAGTAAACCAATCAAATTATTTATGCTCAACAGTTTTCCCGCTTTAGTGAAGATGTTATAAGTTATAAGCACAACGTCCTTCACTCATTGATGCAACAACTTCCTTACAACATTGTATCTAGATCTCGTTAGCTGAACAACATTTTAATATCTACATGATAATATTTACGACAAAACTCCCTTATAACATTGTATCTAGATCTCGTTGGCTTGGCAACGTTTTAATATCTTTACTGTAATATTTACGACAAAACTTCTTTACAACATTGTATCTAGATCTCGTAGGCTGGGTAACGTTATAATATCTACACTGTAATATTTACGACAAAACGAATGACGGCTAAGCCATTCCCTACCCCGACGGCGGATACACCCCTAGCCCCCCTTTATGAAATGCCCTTAGGTAAAATAATCGATGATACTGGGAAGGGTCGGAGAGGGGGGGGGGGGGTAAGGGGGGGGGGGGGGTCACGTGACCCTAGCCCGGCATCTAGCTGACACGATGAATATGTACATAAGGAGATGTCTACACGCGCGCGTGAGTGCGTGAGGGAACGGATGAGTAACTGGGTGATTCGGTGAGTGAGTGAGTGAGTGAGTGAGTGAGTGAGTGAGTGAGTGAGTGAGTGAGTGAGTGAGTGAGTGAGTGAGTGAGTGAGTGAGTGAGTGAGTGAGTGAGTGAGTGAGTGAGTGAGTGAGTGAGTGAGTGAGTGAGTGAGTGAGTGAGTGAGTGAGTGAGTGAGTGAGTGAGTGAGTGAGTGAGTGAGTGAGTGAGTGAGTGAGTGAGTGAGTGAGTGAGTGAGTGAGTGAGTGAGTGAGTGAGTGAGTGAGTGAGTGAGTGAGTGAGTGAGTGAGTGAGTGAGTGAGTGAGTGAGTGAGTGAGTGAGTGAGTGAGTGAGTGAGTGAGTGAGTGAGTGAGTGAGTGAGTGAGTGAGTGAGTGAGTGAGTGAGTGAGTGAGTGAGTGAGTGAGTGAGTGGGTGAGTGGGTGAGTGGGTGAGTGGGTGAGTGGGTGAGTGGGTGAGTGGGTGAGTGGGTGAGTGGGTGAGTGGGTGAGTGAGTGAGTGAGTGAGTGAGTGAGTGAGTGAGTGAGTGAGTGAGTGAGTGAGTGAGTGTGTGAGTGAGTGAGTGAGTGAGTGAGTGAGTGAGTGAGTGGGTGGGTGGGTGAGTGAGTGAGTGAGTGAGTGAGTGAGTGAGTGAGTGAGTGAGTGAGTGAGTGAGTGAGTGAGTGAGTGAGTGAGTGAGTGAGTGAGTGAGTGAGTGAGTGAGTGAGTGAGTGAGTGAGTGAGTGAGTGAGTGAGTGAGTGAGTGAGTGGATGGGTGGGTGGGTGGGTGGGTGAGGGAGGGAGTGGGAGGGAGGGTGGGTGGGTGAGTGAGTTAGTGAGTGAGTTAGTGAGTTAGTGGGTGAATGAATGAATGAAGCATGACATATTAAGGAAGCTATAGAGTCCAAAGTTGTGCCTGCATGTAAATATATGTATCTGTATGTAGATAATATTAATACGTATGTTTTGTCCGTCTTCTGGTAGTGAGTCTGAGTTGTGGGGGAATACAGAAACTATCTGATTTCCTCCACCTCTCCCCCCTCCCCGTTCCTTGTAAGCTTGTGCACTCACTCTATATTATTGTAGCAAGATTAAGTAAATAGCCAGCGTGATTCAAGGCCAGCCGATTGCTTCCAGCGTTCTAAGGGTGTCTTTATGTAGGTTCCCAGAAAGAACCGCAACGGAAAAAAGCGCAACGGAAAAAAGCGCAACGGAAAAAAGCGCAAAACAAAAAGCGCAACGGAAAAAAGCGCACACGGAAAAAAGCGCAAAGAGAAAAAAGCGCACACAGAAAAAAGCGCAAAGAGAAAAAAGCGCAAACGGAAAAAAGCGCAAAGAGAAAAAAGCGCACACAGAAAAAAGCGCAAACAGAAAAAAGCGCAAACGGAAAAAAGCGCAAAGAGAAAAAAGCGCACACGGAAAAAAGCGCAAAGAGAAAAAAGCGCAAACAGAAAAAAGCGCAAAGAGAAAAAAGCGCACACAGAAAAAAGCGCAAACAGAAAAAAGCGCAAACGGAAAAAAGGGCAAAGAGAAAAAACCGCAAACGGAAAAAAGCGCAAACAGAAAAAAGCGCACACGGAAAAAAGCGCAAACGGAAAAAAGCGCAAACGGAAAAAAGCGCAAACAGAAAAAAGCGCAAACGGAAAAAAGCGCAAAGAGAAAAAAGCGCACACAGAAAAAAGCGCAAACAGAAAAAAGCGCAAACGGAAAAAAGCGCAAAGAGAAAAAAGCGCACACGGAAAAAAGCGCAAAGAGAAAAAAGCGCAAACAGAAAAAAGCGCAAAGAGAAAAAAGCGCACACAGAAAAAAGCGCAAACAGAAAAAAGCGCAAACGGAAAAAAGCGCAAAGAGAAAAAACCGCAAACGGAAAAAAGCGCAAACAGAAAAAAGCGCACACGGAAAAAAGCGCAAACGGAAAAAAGCGCAAACGGAAAAAAGCGCAAACAGAAAAAAGCGCAAACGGAAAAAAGCGCAAACAGAAAAAAGCGCACACAGAAAAAAGCGCAAACAGAAAAAAGCGCAAACGGAAAAAAGCGCAAACAGAAAAAAGCGCACACAGAAAAAAGCGCAAACGGAAAAAAGCGCAAACAGAAACAGAAAAGTGCGCAACCAGAAAAAACACAACAAAAAATGTGCAAAAGAGAAATTTAGCACAAAGACCATATGGACTAGATGACACATTTATACATGACTGTTAGGGCTGCTGTGAGAGTGTCGTGTTTGATCACGTGATCTACTACCATTAAAAGCGTACCACTACCATCTGCATTCCCATCACCACGATACAGGCGATAATCACTTTACACAATGCCTATTATTTTCTTGGTCAATAATTATTCAACTACTATTCTCGTATAAACATAAAACTATCGACATTACACGAAGTATCTCTCACATTCTCCCTAGTCCGAACTACCTAGCTTGCATACTATAACAACCCGTTCCTATGGCAAAACTTCACTCTCTTTCATCCGCGTCATCAAACATGCATTCGTCATATCTCTCGTAACAACATTCATTCAAACCAAAATAACAATTTTGTATTTAATATTTTTTCACATCATGACGCACCTACCTACCTACCTACTACCCACCTACCCACCTACCTAACTACCCACCTACCCACTTACCCACTTACCCACCTACCCACCTACATACTTACCAAACTACCCACCAAAAAAGTATCGGCGAAGTTCGTAAGTTTCGTAAACTGTACTAGACATCTTTTTTTTAATGAAAATTCATTGACATCATTGACATATGTTACATATATGTTACATTTTGCGACAACCTTAATTAGTGCGCTGGGCTTGTATGAAAACTCACTTCGAACTAACTCAATTACATGCTATTTATTTTAACATTACACGGTAAGCGTCACCCAACTGTTGTGATGTGAGGCGAGGACAGGTTCGACAATAAACCAACACGAAAGTACGAAAGAGACAAAGATTGCCTATTAGAGAATGGACCCCTTAACTTTCCTAACCCCACCATTTATTATACCCTACCTAACCTCTAAATTTACTGCGCTAAATGTCACTTCCCTCCCAATCGTTCCTATTCTACAGAATGGTGTATACTATTTATTTACATTCTTTAATCTCAATATAACTAAAATAGACTTTTGTTTGAAGGGTAATGGAAACATGTAAACAAAAGGGACGCTACTCTAAATCTATGCGAATACTTATATGCAGTGTGGGTGGGTGGATGGATGTGTGGGTGGGTGGATGGATGTGTGGGTGGGTGGAT